TGGTTTATATTTTTTATTGTATTGATATGGTCTAGTGCTTCAGTTGATTTTTCAGATGTTAAATCAACTTGCATTCTGGGATAAATTACACTTGGTTATGGTACCTAATACTTTATACATGTTACTGGCTTCAGTTTGCTAATATTTTGTTTAAAAACACAGTGGTAGTATTGGAGAAAGAAAGCAATTACCAGTATAGGAATCTAGCTTCTAAATATTTACTGCAAAAAAAAAGTCAGTGTAAAAAAAGGAGAAAGCTAGAAGAAAGAAGAGGAAAAGATCATTTTTAAGTCCAAGTTTCCTCCCACCCCTTTCACTAAGAGAATACATTGCCAAATGGGGAGTCCTTCACGTAAGAAAATGATGCAGCTGACTGATGACAATCCGGGTATTTTGGATATTTTTCTAGCAGCAGCAATGGTTTTCCTGAGCCCCTATGCCTAATGGGCAAAGTTGTATCCCTTGGGCATGCAGGCTGCTTCCACTGGCTGCAGCAGGCCACAGCATAAAGAAATGGGTATTATCAGATTGTCACATAGAGAGGGACGTTGGAGGGAAGGCCGAAGTTTCGGCTGCCAAACTGGAGGTTTCTTTAATTTGTTAGGCAGTGGGTAGCCACTAAAGATTTTGAGTCAGGGAATGCATGATTGAAGATATGCTTTAAGATTAAACTGGCATTAGTGTATTGAGCATAGAGATCAAATAAGCAACTATGCGGTGAGAGTGGAAAGTATGCAGAAGTAAGACAGATATTCAGGTTTTAACAGTTGGATTTGGTGATCAAGGACAAGGAAAGACTCCTGTTTTTTTTTGAGGCTGGATGATCTGAAGTCAGGCTGTGACTAGAAAGGAAGATGATGACTTTGGCTTTAGATGAGTCGATATTTAACTAGAAATGTTTGTCTGCAGACTTCCCTAATCACATCCCATGCATGCAGTTGGAAATACAAACAGCTAAAGGTGTTAAGCATTTATTTACAAGGAAAGGATGCTGGGGCTATTTAATTTGGAAAGTGAAAAGAGTTTACAAAAAGAACTAGATGAAAGGCCCCATTTATTTCTCGGACGACCTGGCCTTTAACTCATGACACTCACCTACACATGACATTACATGCCAGCCGAGGAAAGCCAAGCTCCTTCTGGGAGAAGTGGCCCCAAGGGCACACTCCCGTTTTCACCACACTGCACCGCCTTTTCATCCCCTTTTCCTGGGGAGCTAGCTGGTTCCACATTGAAACTTTCCACACTGCTTTTATCTGCCTGTGTCCTCTTGACTGTTCTAACATGCCATTCCCCTTCTTGTGTGTCGGATATGTTCATCCCTGGTATTTCAGATTGGCAATCTCAGTTTCTAACAAAAGGCTTCCTCTGCCAGCCTGGATACCCAGAACCCTCGTGCTCAGTCCGACTGCAGGATCTCTGCCAGGAGATAGAGATTTGGGCAATTTATTTTAATCATATTAGCAGGCTTAGTTTCTCCCAAGCCACATTTTATAAGGAATACATACTCATAATGTAACAGCTTGTAAACCTCTGATTAATTGAAGACTATAATAAAGAATGTTTATCTTGACAGCAATGTTGAAACTCAGTTGTTGAAAGTAGAAAACTGGACTCCCCTCTGGCTGAAAAATCAGGATTTGTGGCTTTTTGTTCCCTCTGACACCAGGCGGACCTGGCTCTCAGGCTTCAGCTTAATTTCAACATTATTTAGAAGTCTTGTTCACTTCCCTGAGGTTGACTCACCAGGCGGGATTAATTTTCCAGGGTGTTGTGCTAATTATAGGCTAGTAGAGCTAATGGACTCAATCAAAATGGCAACAAGTGTAAAAGGAGCAGGGCGCTCTGGGTTCAGAGCTATTTACAACTTCGCGATGGTATGACGACTATTAATTAGTAAGTACTGCAGTGACCCTCAATTTTCAAAGGTGCTCACCATCATTTTCTAGTTAATCTTTCCCATCCACTACTGTATTTGTTTTATATGAAGGGAGGAGCTGATGAATTACTTGCCTGAAGTCATGTCTGTGGTAAAGCCAAAATTGCACTCTAAATGTTGTGAATAATAATAGAATATATTTGTAGAGTGCTTTGCAGTTTTCAAAGAATCTTCTCCTTTGTCCTTTTATTTATACTTGCTAAGCACCCCTAAGAAGCTTTCTGGCTGGTTAATTGAGGATAACAAGAGGAGAGGGTTTGGTTTCCACTGTCCTGCTTAAATCGGAACTGAGTAAGAAAGTAAAGAACCCAGAGTTGTTAGGAGTCGGAGTCTGGATTGCATGACCTTCGGTCTCCATCTATCTCTGTTACGTTTTCTTGGTTTTTAACGTTCTGTGGCACAGGTATTCAGTTACAATAACCTTTTGTTTTATGAGGCTTTAGTTTTGTTTCATCTAAACCTAAAATGTACGAAGTCATAGAATCTAGTAGCATTAGAAACCTCAACTGAAAAAAAATTGAGGTAATGCAGAGATTGCTTATGCTAGAATGTTGGGCTAAAACCTTTAGAAAGTGGGGCTGGTTCTGGTGACTGTTGTGAGCCTTCCTTGCAGTGCCCCAGGTCCCCCGACTCTTCCCCACTCAACAGCCCGGGCCTTTGCTGGTCTATATAGGCCCAGATTGTCCATACACTCTACATTCAATCTTCCCGGAGCCTTTTATGATCCCATAAACACAGACTTGTACAGTTGGGTGGGGTTTTAAAGGTCATAGAATCTAACATCATCAACTTACAGATGAAGAAGCTGAGACTCAGAAAACTTAAGTGATTTTCTGAGCCCCGCAGCTAGTAACTGTCAGAACTGGGGTGCAGATCTGCTGGAATTTGGCTTGAGAACTGGGCCATGACGGTCACACTCGCACTGAGGTGGTGTCTGCAATAGCACAGTCACTGAACTAGCCACGCAGAGAGCAGTTCCTCAAATGTGTCCAGATGTGCTCTTCAGCATAGGGTTATATTACTTGGGCCAGTTGGGAATGTATGAGGCAAATTAGGAGGCTGCAGAATGAAAGTTCCCTGGGAGAGAATTTTTTTAACCAAGCATTTCTCGAAACCAAGCATGTTTTAACCAAGCATTTTTCTAACCAAGCATTATTTCATCATTTTTTTCAACTCAAAGAAAACTTAGTAACAGCCTATATAATTAGTGTTCCTCGGAACACATTGAAGAACAAATTAAAGGTACGTGCTGAAACGGGGCAGTCATAAGCAGGGAGAAAGCTCTCTGCCAGGTTCTTTGGTACATGCTGTTTTACCTCCACAAAACCTTAGGAACAAGTATCACTGTCTTTACTTACAGATGAGCTCAAGACTCTGGTTTCATGTGACAGATTGAATTCACACTTGCTTAAGTGGAAAGGGGTGTTCATATAACTGGGAAGGTTGGAACATTGAGACCAGAAAGGTTCTCTTTCTTCTATCTCTGCTTCTCTCTGTTTGCCAAATCTAGTCCTTCATTTCACAGACAGATGTCCTCACAAGAATGGAGACATGACCGCACAGCTTAGGTTCACTCCCTGACCACTCTACAGCCAGAAAGGAAGGGGTTTTTCCTCTCTGCCAACACAACATGGCAAGATGCTGGAGAGGAAATCTACTGGCCAGCAGAGTTTGTGGGCTCTTCTGCTGTCTATCTCCTTGGCTATGAAAATGGTACTGTGATTAGTTTAGACTGAGTCTCATGCTCTCTACCATGGACAAGGAAGGCATGTTTTCAGAATAAGATCAGAAAGTGACTCAGGCAAAACAAAGCAGTCTGGAAGTGAACTTGTCTCAGCTCACATAGCCAGTAAATGGTAGAACTGGGATTTGAACCCAGGTCTGTTTGACCCCAAACTACACGTCGTTCTTCTTCTACATCATATTGTTTCAATAAGGTACTATCTACACTCTTAAGGAAGAAGCAGTCTGGTTGGAAAGATGTGCATCCCTTTAGTAAGCATGGTGAAAGGTACACGTGCAGTGGGCTTTCAAAGAATGGAAAGATGACATCATGATCATACTATAATCTTCAGACTGAGGCTCCTAATTTTGGGGGGATTATGGGCACCTTCGAAGACCTATGAACCCTGTGAATTCTTTATCCCCCAGATACACACACACAGACACATGCTAAATTTTGCATGCATTTCTCTTTGTGTGCTTGTAAAAGGTGTTCATGGTTTTCCGAGGTGCTTAATAATTTGAGTTAACAATGACTGCTTTGAGCCCTTACTGGTGTGGCTCAGTGGGTTGGGTGTCATCCTACAAAATGAAAGGTCACCAGTTCAATGCCTGGTCAGGGCACATTGTCTGGGTTGTAGGTTCGGTCCCCAGTAAAGGTGTGTTTGAGAGGCAACCGATTGATGTTTCTCTCCCATATTGCTGTTTTTATCCCTTTCTCCCTCTCTTTCCTTTTCGCTAAAAATAAATAAATAAAATCTTATTTTTAAATTACTGATTTGAAAATGTACTTATCTAGAAGATCCAGTTCAAAAGATCTAGCCTTGCTGTGAAATATTGGTATTGCCAGCAGCAAACTGATCAACCTCAGGTTTGGGTCTCTCAATATTAGTAAGGAAGGCTCTGGAAACCCAAGTCAGAGCCATGGAGACAGAAAAAAGGCTGGGAAGATAGTGTGTTCCTTGGAACATACAAATAAAGAACTAAGTGGTACTCATTAAAGTGGGGCAATCACAAGCCGAGGTGGGAGCTGCTCTGAGACGGTAACACTACAGTTTTTGGTGTAAATAGTGGAGTTATAGCCATCTGGTTTGACAAAAAGGAAACATGGAGAGGGTGAAGAGATTTGCCCAAGGACATACAACTTGAGGAATGTCTGTAACTGAACTAACCGGTACTCCATTGGTTCTTTTGTCCAGTGCTCTTTCTTCATTCTGGGTCACCGCATAGTAACACAGTAAATGGGGAAGACAATGAATACAAACGATAGCATTTATGTATTGTAAGACTCATCTCACTTCATTATAACTTGTTTTAACTGCCTTTTTTTGTCCCCTAGGCTGTAAACTCCGTGAGAATAGAACCTGTGTCTGCTTAATAATTCATTGACTGCTTACTCAATCACTGGTACGTTCCTGGGACCTAGCTCATAGTAGACACTCAGTAACATCTCCCTCCTCGGAATGACTGAAGAATGACTGAACAGTGGGACTTCCACTGCTCAAGATAGAGTATACCCTTGGCTGTTTATGTCATTTCTCATGTGGTTTCTGACATCCTGCCCTTGCTTTTCTCCCTTGGCACAGTCTGCAGCTTACCAGTCATCCTGATTCACCCCAGAGAAACCTCCATCTCCATACACAGTGAAGGCCCAGAGAATTCTGACTCCTGGTTGACTGGCTGATTGAGCCCTGGAAGTGCAGTTCGTTCCTCCATTTCCCTCTGAATTCTTACTGGGAGAGTTCTAGATCCCCGGGAAACACAGGCTTCTGGCTTGCCTAAGAGAAGGTCAGCATGCTCCACAGAAATCACCATTTCCTTCTCCTCCATAGTGAATGCCGACACCCAGCCCCGAGGGAGATAAATCTTTTCTTAGTCTCTTTGAAACCTAAGCAAACCTAAGCCATAAAAGGGAGTATTCCTGGTGTTTGTCAATCAGACGAAGTGTCCTTATTCCCTTGGCAGGAGGGAGGTGTGGTTGCTAGGCCATATCTGGTAGGTGTAGTTAGTAGACAGTTGGTGTCTAATTTACCCAGAAGAAATGTCTGTGTGATATATTTTTCATTTACTAAAGGAGGACAAGTGTTCAAATCTTTGCAAATTTTCACTGAAATTAAATTTTCAAGGTCCACATAGGTGCAGCTCTGTCAAATCTTCCTGTAAAACCTAAAGTATGACTAACCGTGTTAAATTATACATTTTTATAAATGTTGTCTCTCAGAGTGTTGTTGTAAAACTTAAGGATAGTGAAATGTGGAAAGCACCCAGCACCATGCGTGGCAAATCAGGTGCCTTTCCTCTTGTTCCCTTTCCGCTGTTCGGGTAAGGGAAGCCAGAACAGACGAGATTCCTTTGTGTATGGGATAGGACTGATTTTGGCTGTAAATGAAAGAGCATTACACATAAGAGCTTAAGGAAAGAGCCTTTTCCCTCACAGAACATTAAGTCTAACAGGATCTGCTGGTTTGGTTTTCGTCTGGGAGCCTGGGGGACCCACGGCCAATAGCTCTTCAAGTCTCTTGTCCTTTTCCTAATGCGTGTTGCCCCAAAAGGGCTGCTGCAGCTCCAGACAGCATGTTCATATCTGAGACAGGAAGGAAGGGTAAGAGACCCATCTAGTCCTTTCATCAGGAAAGCAAGCAGGTTTTCCAGGCCGCTATCTGTCCTCAGCAGTTCTCACGTCTCACTGGGCACTTGCCCTCACGCGAAGTTGAGAAATGAGTGCTTAGTTCCTCCAGCCTTTGCGGCAGAGGCAGACACCCCATGGAATGAGTGGGCAAGAAGGGGTCTTTGCTCAGCTATCTTAAAGGATTGCCACACTGATGCTTTCAGTATGACCCTCGGCTGTTCTGCAGAGCTGGGTGAAGGGGTTTGGTGTCAGTTAGCAAGATTCAATTTTGCTTTCTCTCCTTTATCTAACTAAAGACCCAACTTAACACAGTTGGACCCCATCTGGAACATAGATGGGACTGATAAGCTACCTAGTCAGTGGGGTGCTTGAGTGGGCTTCTACCATCTCCTGAGAGCCAGTTGTTAAATTTTTAGGAATATTGTGAGCCAGCTGATAAATATAGTCATTATTAAAAATTGAATTATATGAATTTATATTTAAATAAATTATACTCTAAAAGGTAACAAACACTTAAAACTCATTATTTCCTAATATTTTCCTATATTTTATTAACTATTCTCTTGAGTTTATTTATGTCTACTGTATCTGTCCATGGTATTTTAAAAATGTGCTACTGTGCATTTCTTCCCATCTCTGTGCTTAGTAACAGCACAGAGTAACAGCATGTTGATAATTTCAAATTGCTATGGTGAGAGTATTGGCAAATGCTACAATTTTTTTTTGAGAGAGGGAGAGAGTCAGTTGTAAAATATTTACCAGCACACCACTATGCAGAGAAGATTGAGGGAGGTTGGAAATGCATGTACATTTGAGTCAAGTAGGTAAGCATTTCAAAACAATTTTCAGAGCCCTTCCAGAGATAACACACACAAAGAGACGGTTTCATATGTTTTAAACCAACATAATAAAAATGCCTTGTATAGGTTGCTTTCCTTTTGCAAAAATGCAAAGAAAGTGTAATTTGCTTGGCTTCTGGGACTTAAGAGTCATTCTCAGACAATCCTGTTCTCTTTCATTGCCACTACCATCATTAATTAACATCCATTGCATACCTGCTATGGGTTAAATTCTGAGTTTAACCAGGCAACATCAAATCCGGTCTCTGTTTTCAAGGAGTTTATGTTCCATGCATTCTCTTCATAGCACTTATCTTGATTCCTCTCTCCTTTCTCTCTCTGTCTATATACTATATATTATGTGTAAATACACAAATACATATACTACATACACACAAATATATATTCTTGTGTGAACCCTAGTTTAAGAATGTGCCCTCCGCTAGGTTGTAAGTCCCATTAGGAAAGGCAACTGCATTTCTTTTGTTCACAGCTGCATTCCTGTGTTTACACAGTGCCTGGAAAATAGCAGGCACTCTGCTAATGCTCCTTGAATTCATGATGAATGAATAAAATTAAAGGAGTAGAATGCACAATAAGAGCTGTATGAGGTGAGATGAAGGAACACTATCAGTGACTGGAATGGTTGGAAAAGCTTTAAGGAGGTGCTAGGACTTGAGTAGACTCTTGAAGAATAGGACATAAATAAAGTATGGCTCACTAATAATTGCTTCCGTAAATGTACAATATCTACTCTAGAAAACAGTGGTTTCTTTTAAAACTAAAAAATGCACTTACCATACAGTGCAGCAATTGCACTCCTGAGCATTTACTCCAGGGAAATGAAAACTTCTGGTTGTGTAAAAACCTGCACAGTAATATGCATATATTCAAAACAGCCCAAAAGTTGGAAACAACCCAAATTTTCTTCAGTGAGTGATAACAAACAGGTAGGTGCATACTACAGAATACTACTTCCCTGTAAGGAGGAATAAACTGTTGACACAAGCACCAAGTTGGTGCTTCATGGGAATTCAAGGGAATTATAATGAGGAAAAATAACCAATTTCAAATGATTACATACTATATTGTTCCACTTATATAATATAATATTCTTGAAATGTAATTGCAGAGATGGAAAACATTACTGGTTGCTAGGGGTTGGGGCTTGGGAGGAGGGAGGAGGCCTGGCTGCAAAGCAGTGACGTGATGGAACAGGTCTGCCTCTTCACCGTGGTGGGGGGTATGCAAAGCCACATGTGTTATAAAATTGCCTAGGACCATAGACACACACTCGTGCACGCACACACACACACACACACATGAGTACATGTGTAACTGGTGAGCCCTGCAGGGGCTCTGGGTAACGTAGCCAGGCCAGTGGCATGGTGTTGACATGGTACTGTTAGTAATGCAGGATGCTAACAGTGAGTGGGGACAAGTGAAGGGTGTGAGACCTGTCTGTACACTTTTGTGCCACTTCCCGTGAATGTATAATTATTTAGAAATGCATAAATCAGATCTCTTACTTGAAATTATTAGACTTCCTATTGCAATTAAAAGACAATCCAAGTACCTTTACGTCACTTGCTCCCTTCCTGTCTCTCTGACCTCATCTGTCTCTTCATCTCATTAATTAAGCTGAAGCCACACAAATCTTCCCTTGTTCATCATTGTGCTCTCTGCGCTCTTTCTCACCTCTGAGATGTGACGCTTGCTGCTTCCTTCCTGAAAAGCTGCTCACAAGTCCATCCTCATGTCTTGTCAGCATTCAGCCTCACTTCAACGTCCACTCCTCCAAGAAGCTTCCCTGTCCCTCCATCTACAGTGTTCATTTCCCTCGACTCTGTTACTCTCTGTGGGGTCCATTTTCTTCCTAACACCAGCCAACATCTGAATTTACTTTTCATCTTTGCTCATCAGCTGTCTTCTTCCTCATTAGAATGTAAAGTCCATCACATTCCATCCGTGCAGTCTTATTCATAGCATTATCTCTTGTGGTTTAGACAGTGTCTGGTGCTCAACTCCAAGGGAAACCCCACCCCTCCACACACTCTCAGTAAGTAGCACCTCTCTTCCCCCTTTAGTTTCTAACAATTTCAACAAATGCAATGAAGTGAACACAGAGTGGAACTATAACCTTTATTACCGATAGGGGCAAATTTGGAAGCATAGTTTGGGCAGTGGAATCCTCACCCATTATGGACTTAGGCAGCCTTACCTATTGGGTTCTAGTCAGCTCTGCACTGGATTAGCAGTACCTGGTAGTGCAGAACCTAGAACCTAGGGGCATGCTAAATATTTTGTAAATTAAGGAGGGAGGACATAAAGGATGTAATGAATTCCCAAGTCCTCTCTCACAGTGGGTTTGGGAAGAAGGCACAGAGGTAGGACCGCTGACCTGAGGGTGCAGGACTGAGATAGAAAACATGGGTAGACAGTCTAGAGACACAGGGAGGAGGCAGCAGCAGGAAATGTCAAACGCCAGGCCACGGCGTTGGGAAGCTGTTCAAGTGAACTTCGTCCGCCTCCATCTGCTCGTTTGCCTAGGTGCTATTTTCATTATTCAGGAGAAGTATGAGCGATTGCTTTCTCTATGACTAAGCTCACTTTAGTACTCAACACAAGTATAGTATTAAGCAACCCATCATCTTTAATAGAGTTTTTGTCTTTACCACAACTCTCTTGTTTTGAAAATAATAAAAGCACACCTAACATGCCTATTTGTCAGCCACTGTAAGGTGCCATGTTGATCAGAAATGGAATTGAAAAGATAAAAGAAAATCTATGAGTTACAAACCACCCCAGCATTTCCTTTCATGGAAAATGAGTTTGGGGGAGATAGATACACTGGCCGGAGCAGCCTGGCTATCACTATGAATAAGAAACAAAAAATAGAAATTGTCAGCAGAATCGGAGGCAGGGAATATGGGCTAGGTGGAATATGAGATACACAAAAGCATGAAGGGCAAAGAGCAGTCCTAACTCTAGCAACCTTAAAAAAGAAAAACTTTAAGCTGAAATGATGCCTCTCTTCTGAACCAAATGATCATATTGACCCAGTCTTGCTGAATACATACATTCAACTTTCTCTTGAATGCTTCCCTATTATTTCTCTCTCTCTATATTTTTTACATATGCATATATATGTATGTGTATGTGTGTATATACATCTGTCTAGGAGGCGTCCAGCCATGTATTATGAAA